CCAATCAGGAAGTTGGGTTGCGAGTAATGACCCACCTCCCAGCTTTCTGATTGCCCAGGAAGCCAATCCCCTCCCAGCCAATCAGCATCAAACCAGTTCGACCAGCTCGATGCTGATTGGCCGAACTAGTAATCGGAGTTATAGGGGGGTCGCATTATGAAACTCCCTCCTAGCGTATAGCCAGGTGGATGCGGTTGGCACGGCACTAGTACCACTAGATGGCGCTGAAGTGTATAGGAAATTGCAATGCTCCTCAGCCCCATGTTGGGGCGCTAGACCCGTGCTAAGTTTTAATAAGCAAACCCCAACATGTTGGTATATGGGGAAAGAATAAAATAGGATTTCTTGCATTTGTTGTGCAGCAAGCGCCAACGTGCATAGTAGTGACATAGGGATCTTGGGGGAAAAAAACCTGTTTGGGTTACAATGCATAGTCATAGTTTTTTCTGAGGATTTACGCTGGTCAGCTTCGGACGATGGAACCCGTGATCCCCAGCCATGGGAACACATCAAAATGTAGAGCAGTCCAGATCTGTGCAGTAATTCAGTATGAGACTAGGAGCTTCCTGTAATAAAGACCGTCACTGCTGCTCTCTCTCTCCTTGTGCAGGGTGACTGGTCTTGTCTCCGCCCCCTCCTGTAATAAAGAGCACACTGCTGCTGCTCTCTCTCCTTGTGCGGGGTGACTGGTCTTGTCTCCTCCCCCTCCTGGGTCACGTTGTTTCTCTACAGCCAATTTAGAAAAGGAGAGGGCGCAAAGCCCCGCCCACCGCTCAGGTAGCCTTTCTGGGATTGAAATAAAGTGATTAGGTTGGCAGTCGCTGAGTCACGACGGAACTCTCTACCGCCATGTAATATAAGTAAAATTGGCCAATTAGAACACAGGAGGACAAGTGCCCCCCTATCGAACGGGGAGCCTTGCTGGGATTGTATTGAAGCGAGCCAGGTAGCGATCGCCCTAAAAGCAGATTATGCATAGAAAAATTAGCCAATTAGAAGAGCAGCCGGAGCAGAGCTCCGCCCATCGCGAGGTTGCCTTGCTGCGATTGGTTTGAACCGAGCCAGGTAGAATTCGCCAAGTCACGCCAGGACGCCCTACATTCACGTTATGTAAAGGAATTTAGCCAATCAACAAGGCAGTCGGAGCCGGGTCCCGCCCATCGCGCAGGCAACCTTTGCTGGGATTGGCCAGATGAGGGACCGGTGGAATTCGCTGAGTCACGCCGACCCAGCAATAAAGTAATAAAATGATGTAGGATGACAGTAAGCCAGCGCGTTCTTTATCTCAGGTGCCCCACTCAAGCGGCGGCCATATTGAGTGGGGCACCGGAGATAAAGAACGTGCTGGCTTACTGTCATCCTACATCATTTTATTACTTTATTGCTGTGGTCTATGTCTATAGGGCAATGCCGTGGATGGCGCTCGTGCACAACATGTTTTGTGTAAAAACCTCGTAGTTCTGAGGAAACCGGAAGTAATGCGGTCCCACAACTCGATAAGTTCGCACTTTCGACACATCACCGGCGGCGGTGGCTCCTCCGCGATGGGCGCAGCTGCTGAGTCACCAGACGAGAGAACAGAGCGGGCAGCAGGACACGGGAGACACCGACCGGAGGGATGGAGCATGCGCACTGACACTGACTGGGGCACCGTCCATGACTGCCAGACAAAGGCTGCGAGACGGCTGAGTGCACCCAGAGAAGGGTACATGCTGAGAGCAAGCAGGCGCTGAGATACAGGCACCGACAGCCCTACAGGGAGTGACACAGAGAAGCATCGGAGCCATGTACTGATCCTGCACACAGATGGCACTGATGACTGACACTCGCTGGGCACTTCGCATGACATCCAGCCACTGACATCCCCCTGTGATCAGCACTGTGAGAGGACACCGGGAGAGGTGAGTGACAAGGACACACAGGACACGCCGCTCTCATTGGTGCACTCCTACATAGAATGATGCCACCCTATACCGGCGCTATGTACACAGAGCATGGCACATTGTTGATGTAAACATTGCATAACTCTTCATGTTGTTACATTGCATGTGATCTCTGATTGTCACCGCACACACATGTGTACATACATAGTATCTGCCCCCTGACGCACAGGATTCCATGTCTCGCTGCGTGGCATGGTCTGTAACATGTTTACATTCATACGTCCGGAAACCGTTCACATGTGTAGGATTTTTCTTGCATGCCTCTACAGCTCCGGTTTCAATAGCGGCACGTACACAGAAATACTGACCGCGGGCGCAGAATTTACTACTGAACGCAGTGCAAGGTTACTGAGTGTAGTTCCTGGGCCCGTAATATACATCGCTGCGGTGTTCAGATCCGGAAGACACGATACACCGGACGGATCTGAACATAGCAGTGTTTGGGACCCCCGTGTGAAGGAGGACTTCACGTCATTACATGTGTGCATATGTGTTCAGGAATGTCCTACAAACATGTATGTCATTGGCTGTGTGAGTGAGGCCATAGAGTGCTGCAGGCACCCCACAGTCCACGCAGAGGCCCCAGTGTGCCCACAGTATGCCCACACACAGCCCACAGTATGCCCACACTCTGTCCACACAGCCCACAGTATGTCCACACAGCCCACAGTATGCCCACACACAGCCCACAGTATGCCCACACACAGCCCACGGTATGCCCACAGTATGCCCACACACAGCCCACGGTATGCCCACACTCTGTCCGCACACAGCCCACAGTATGCCCACACTCTGTCCGCACACAGCCCACAGTATGCCCACACACAGCCCATACTCTGTCCACACACAGCCCACAGTATGCCCATACTCTGTCCGCACACAGCCCACAGTATGCCCACAGTATGCCCACACACAGCCCACGGTATGCCCACACTCTGTCCGCACACAGCACAGACAGCCCACAGTATGCCCACACATCCTACATCCAGTCCGCAGTATAGTCCATGCTGTGCCCACAGTATGGCAGGCAGTATTTGAATGCATGGAAATGTAAAGAACTGTAATTGGGGCCATGACTGTGTACGTTTGCTCCCGCTGTGCGTTTTACAAGCCGCGTCCGGTTACTTTGTGTGTGTTCATCCTTGCAGAGCAGATCCCGGGGCGAGCGATACACGGGAGATTTTGTTATTTCAATTGCAGCACTAAGGCCCCGTTCACACTCCTCTGCGTGTCTAAACACTGCGCCACAAAATGCGTGACTCTCTGGCAGCACCATTACTTGTTAATGGCACCCAAAACGCGGCAGGTAAACCAGTTGGTCAAAGACCGCGTGAAGCTCTCGGCTCTAACTTCCGAACGAGCTTCTTTGCCGTCCTTGTCACACTGAAATTATTGGCTTGGCCCGTGGTGACATGCGGCAAAATGCAAATAAATGCAACGCACATTCACATGAGACAAGTGTGAGCGGGGCCTAAGAGCCCTGGTGAATAATCCCCATGGAGAAGTTACACAAGCGATCGTTCAGTCATGATTGATGGAATACAAACAACGCACTTGTTGCTGAGTGTTTAGGGTACAACTGACCGAGCTGGCTGTGCGTGTCATGGAGAGGTCATAGTAAACAGGTCATAGAACGCAGTGGTAGGATGACGGTGCAAGAATGAGAGTTAAGATCCCGTCAGTTATCTCTTTCTTTGTATTGTTGTCAAAGTGTCAATGTATTTACTGCAGTGGAGCGCCGACATCCTGGGAGCTCCAGGGTGTTGCAGAAAAATGCAGCATATCCGGATTTTTCTGCAACGCACCACAATTCTCATGAAGGCAGCTTTGTATTGTGCACAGAGTTGTGGGAGGGACCCAGCGGGCGGAGACGAGACCAGTCACCCTGCTCAAGGAGAGAGAACAACAGTGAGCGGTCTTTATTACAGTGGGGGGCGGAGACGAGACCAGTCACCCTGCACAAGGAGAGAGAGCAGCAGTGACCGGTCTTTATTACAGGAGGGGGCGGAGACCAGACCAGTCACCCTGCACAAGGAGAGAGAGCAGCAGTGACCGGTCTTTATTACAGGAGGGGGCGGAGACCAGACCAGTCACCCTGCACAAGGAGAGAGAGCAGCAGTGACCGGTCTTTATTACAGGAGGGGGCGGAGACCAGACCAGTCACCCTGCACAAGGAGAGAGAGCAGCAGTGACCGGTCTTTATTACAGGAGGGGGCGGAGACCAGACCAGTCACCCTGCACAAGGAGAGAGAGCAGCAGTGACCGGTCTTTATTACAGGAGGGGGCGGAGACCAGACCAGTCACCCTGCACAAGGAGAGAGAGCAGCAGTGACCGGTCTTTATTACAGGAGGGGGCGGAGACCAGACCAGTCACCCTGCACAAGGAGAGAGAGCAGCAGTGACCGGTCTTTATTACAGGAGGGGGCGGAGACCAGACCAGTCACCCTGCACAAGGAGAGAGAGCAGCAGTGACCGGTCTTTATTACAGGAGGGGGCGGAGACCAGACCAGTCACCCTGCACAAGGAGAGAGAGCAGCAGTGACCGGTCTTTATTACAGGAGGGGGCGGAGACCAGACCAGTCACCCTGCACAAGGAGAGAGAGCAGCAGTGACCGGTCTTTATTACAGGAGGGGGCGGAGACCAGACCAGTCACCCTGCACAAGGAGAGAGAGCAGCAGTGACCGGTCTTTATTACAGGAGGGGGCGGAGACCAGACCAGTCACCCTGCACAAGGAGAGAGAGCAGCAGTGAGCGGTCTGTATTACAGCATGCTCCAAGTTTTGCACAGATCTGGAAGAAATACACAAAGCTCACCAAGATTCAGGGAAGAATCCACATGACTCTGTATGAGGAAAATATTTGCTTATCCCGGGGTTCAGGTTTAATTGAGCATTTCCTACCATGATGAGGTCATATAGGTCTTTAATATGACTGGTCCGGTCACTCGTGGACTGACTTTTTCCTGAACTCTGTCTGCATTTTCTTGTCTACGACCATCCAAAATAATGTTTTATAGACTGTACTAATTCCATCTTTTTTTTTCCTCTCACACAGGTGCAGTATCGTGAATTGAGAGAATGGTGGCGCTGGGGAGCTACTGCGAGCAAAATGGCAGCGTGTCCCAGGCTTGGCTGGACAACGGCCTCTCTCCATGCTTTTATTTCACTCTGGTCCCATCGGTGTTGCTCAGCATCTCCATCCTCCTGGGAACTTTACAGTCGGCCTGCTACGCCAAGCACAGCCGGACGATGGAGCCCAAGTACATCCCCAAGTCGGGCCTGTACCGCGTGCAGCTGGCGCTGTCCGTGGTGCTGATCCTGCAAGCTCTGGGAGGCCTGATCTGGCAGGCGGCGGGCGGGGAAGTGATGTACGGCTTTATGATTGTGCACGGCTGCCTCTACGCCGCCGCCTGGGCTATCAGCATTTGGCTCCTTCAGTTGGAGCGGACGAGGGCCCTGGAACGAGAGAGGAGCAGGGGCCACGGTGCCGTTCTCCTGCTGTTCTGGGCCCTGGCGTTCGCCGCTGAGAACTTGGCGTTCATATCTTGGCAGAGCCCGCACTGGTGGTGGACGTCCATGGACACTGCTGCACAAAAAGTGAGTACTGGGGAAGAGGGGGGTGCTTAAAGAGAACCTGTCACCGGGTAGTTAATTGCAACAAAAATCTTCCCATAAGATTATATTGTATGTGCTTCCAAAGGTCATGGGACTGCTGCTGGGTGCCGCCATCTTGGATGTGATAGCAGCAGACTTTGACCTCTGGTAAAACTCTACAGAAGGAGTAGGCAACCTTTTGGGTGTACTGTGCCGAAACTGTTTGACATAATTTGAGAGTGCCAGATATACATGACAAAATGTCTTCTCCATACATGAATATTTTGTAAGTAAATTGTGGGGCTATAAACTAGAATAATGACCCCTAACATTGGTGTCAGTGACCGAAATTACAACTCCAAGCATTGGTGTCAGGGACTGCAGTAACAACCCCCAACATTGGTGTCAGGGACTGCAGTAACAACCCCCAACATTGGTGTCAGGGACTGCAGTAACAACCCCCTACATTGGTGTCAGGGACTGCAGTTACAACTCCCAACATTGGTGTAGTGGCTCCAATTACAACCCCCAACATTGATGTCAGTGCTGCAGCTTCAACTCCCAATATTGGTGTCATCACTTGCAGTTACAACCCCTTACATTGATGTCATAGACTGCAGTTACAACCCCCAACATTGGTGTCAGGGACTGCAGTTACAACCCCCAACATTGGTGTCAGGGACTGCAGTTACAACCGCCAACATTGGTGTCAGGAACTGCAGTTACAACCCCCAGCATTGGTGTCGGGGACTGCAGTTACAACCCATAACACTGGTGTCAGTGATTGCAGTTACAACCCCCAGCATTGGTGTCAGGGACTGCAACATTGGGCTTACATTGTGTAATGTAGACATTCCAGGAGGCAGCGGGTGGCTGTACCAATATTATCCGCACCTTACTTTAATAGACTCAAATCCAGGAATATAATAAGATGAACTCGCAATGATAAGGAATGCAGGGTGCTTACTTGTGGCCCAGATCACAATCCTCTGCATGGATTCCAAACGCCCGCGTGGGCCGTGGCAGGAATTGAACAATATTCAGGGACGCCGGGATCAATGTGGAGAAGTGAGACCTGGTGCCAAGTTTTTCCAGCGCTGCATCTCCGAACCGAGATATGAAGGTTCTCTTGCTGTCAAAGCAGACATGACGATGGGGTGTGCCACCCTTCCAATGCATTGGCTTGATGATGGACGCCTTGTTTTAAGGAGTTCCCTAGCCTCTCCGCTGCTTTGCCCAGACGGTTAAGAGTTCATCCATTTATCATTGTGAGTTCATCTTATTACATTTGGATTTTAGTCTATTAAAGTACCTTTATTGCCCTCGGTCAGTGCAGCCTTGTTATTGGTTTGTTTTTTTCCAAAATATCTCTATATTGGTTTTCTAAGATTCACATATCACATAAGTACAGATGCCAAAAAAAAACAATACATATCCATATAATTAACAAAATACAAACATTGTATAATATCGCAGTCATTCCATTCCTCTACCTTCATAGTTCGGTCTAACCAGAAACAACATACAGGTGAAACTCGAATAATTAGAATATCGTGCAAAGTTCATTTATTTCATTAATGCAACTTAAAAGGTGAAACTAATATATGAGAGAGACTCATTACATGCAAAGCAAGATAATTCAAGCCGTGATTTGTCATAATTTGTGATGATTATGGCTTACAGCTCATGAAAACCCCAAGAACCCCAAATCCACAACCTCAAAAAAGTAGATTGTTACATGCAATCAATAAAACAAGGATTGTACATAGAACAATATCGGACCTCTGAAAAGTACAAGCATGCATATGTACTCAGTACTTGGTTTGGGCCCCTTTTGCAGCACTTACTGCAATTACTTTTGCACGATATTCTAATTATTCGAGTTTCACCTGTATAACAATAATGCAATAAAAACTTTCTTCTAGACCCAAAAGTACAGATAACAAAAAAAACAATGCATATCCCTCTGACTAAGAGAATATATATATTGTGTACTAACGCAGTCCTTCCATTCCTCTACCTACATACTTCCATCTAACAAGTGACAACGTATAACACTTAAGCAATATAAACTTTCTACCACATTTCCCTCCCTGAAACCGACTCATCTACGCATCCTAAGAGGTATTATAGATATATTAAATACTTAAAAAAAAAAAAAGAGAAACGAAATGAAAGAAAAAGAGAGGAGAATCGAATTGAATCCCATCTAAGGAAGGTTTGCCCAGCAATGATCCCTATAAATATGTGAGGATCTTCTGTGAACTCATATAATCCCTCCAGGTGCTCCACCTCTCGCCAAATTGCATATGTTTATCGTTGACAGTCCATACTTCCCAACCAGAGTATCCCATATTTTTAATGTTGACGAAATTACCAGCGAGCTGGTCCAGCTTCTATTTTGTTTAATTGGGGGTATCCACGGGACAGAAGTCAGGGGTATTTCCACCTCTGCCTGTTCCACCGACACCCACAATTTCCGATTTTTTTTTTTTTTTTCCTTCAGTAAACCAATCCAACAATCTACTAAGGCCCACCGCTTGGTAATATATTTCCATATGTGGCAGGCCTCTCCCGCCATCCAATTTTCATTTGGTCAGTATATCATATCTCAGACGTACTCCTGTTTTATTCCATATATACCGTACCAATAGAGATTGAATTTTACGAAAAAAAGGCTCGAGGGATCCTTGCTGGCACTGTCTGGAAGATGTAGAGGACTCTTGGGAGGACGTCCATTTTAACTATGGACATCCTTCCAAGCCAAGAATGTTGTTTCCTCTTCCACCCATCCAGACGTATCGGCGTGGACTCCAACAGGGGAGCATAGTTTAATAAATATAGCTTCCTCAAGTCTGCTGGAATGTGTACCCCTAGGTACTTCAAAGCTTCCGATGCCCATATAAAGGAGAAACTGGCACTCAATATATCTTTTTCTCCCTTCGGTAGTGTAATATCCAAGCATTGGGATTTACTTGCGTTAATACGATAGTTGCTCTAAGATCGAGGGTAAGGCTAGCCTTGGATTAGTTACATATAGAAGTAAGTCATCAGCAAAGATACTGAGTTTATGGGCGCTTTCATTAGGGCTATTGCCAGGTGTTCCATTACTATAATATATAGCATGGGGGACAGGGGACATCCTTGTCTTGTCCCATTTGTAATTTCCAACCTTTCCGATAGTATCCCATTTACACGTATCCTCGCAGATGGGCTTGTATACAGTGCCATCATCTTTGAGACTAGGGACGTCGGTATTCCTATCTGTTCTAAAGATATTTTAATACATTTCCAATCCACCCTGTCGAAGGCCTTCTCTGCATCTAAAGAAAGTAAGCATAGAGGGATTTCTCTCGACTGGGCTTGTTGGATCAGAGAGATAGTTTTGATAGTGTTATCCCTCGCTTCTCGCCCGGGAACTAATCCTGCCTGCTCTGGATGTATTATCTCCTTTAAATATGGTTGTATACGTAGAGCCAAAGTTTTAGCACAGATCTTCTTCATGTCTACGTTTATTAACGATATCGGCCTATAACTCGCACACTGTGTTGGATCCTTTTTATCTTTTTGTATTAATGTTATATATGCCTCTTGGCTCTGACATGGAAACCCACATCTGTCACCAATAGAATTGAACACTTCCAATAATATTGGAGCCAGTACCTCAACAAATTGTCTGTAAAAAGCGCCTGTTAACCCGTCGGGTCCCGGACTTTTCCCCGTCGGTAGTGAGTGAATTACACCTATTATTTCTTCCAGTGAGAATGGGGTATCCAGTTTATTAATTGCTTCATTATCTAGTCTGGGCAGGGGTGTCTGATACACATACTCTAGCTTCTCCTTTTATTCATCTCTCCCCTCTTTTCTTGTTTTTACTTTCCTTTTAAATGATATAAATCATTGTAATAATTATGGAATGCTTCAGCAATATTTTCTGAGGAATTAACTATACCCCTATGTTGGCAATTAATTTTTGGAATATATGTTCGGCCCTGTTTCTCCTTTTATCGAACGTGCTAGAAATCTACTACTTTTATTTCCAAATTCATAGTTCGTTTCACTGTGTCCTTATACCTTTTGATACCCCAGATCAATTCTTTGATGTAATTCAGTCCTCTTTTGCTGGAGACTATTGTAGACATTTATGTCTGCATTCTTTTTATGCTAGCTCTCCAATTGGTAAATCTCATCACGGAGGTATTTAACCTCCTGTTCTTTTTCTTTTTTTTAATCGTGTCCCATGGGATATGAGTATTCCTCGTATTACCCCTTTCAAGGTTTCCCATTTTATTGGTCGTGCTGTGTTATCGTTTTTATGGTCTATTTTAAAAATTTGCAATACCTTGCCTAATGGCCTCCTTTATCGAGTCATCTTGTATAAAATTTTCATTCAGTCTCCATGTCGCACTAAGCTTCATGCTTGTTATTGGTTTTATTGCAAATACATTCCAGGTTCAGCAAAATAAAAGGTGTGTAATGTCTTGCCGTTTTATTTTCTTTAGAAAGCAACCACAATAGAAAAGCCTCCCCTGCCTGCAAGCTACACAGAAGGACCTTTTTTCCCTGTGCGGAAGCAGCGGCCTTTCTACAGGGGTCTGACATGCCCCATAATGAGTCAGAGCCAGATCTCTCCTTGTGTGAAGGCAGCGGTCTCTCTACTGAGGTCTGACACACCCCATTAAGAGTCAGATCTCTCCCAGTGTGGAAGCAGTGATCTCTCTACAGAGATTCATCACACCCGATCTCTCCCAGTGTGGAAGGAAGCAGTGATCTCTGTACAGAGATTCATCACACCCGATCTCTCCAAGTGTGGAAGGAAGCCGTGATCTCTGTACAGAGATTCATCACACCCGATCTCTCCAAGTGTGGAAGGAAGCAGTGATCTCTGTACAGAGGTCTAACACACCCCATGATGAGTCAGAGCCAGATCTCTCCCAGTGTGGAAGCAGTGATCTCTCTACAGAGATTCATCACACCCGGTGATGGTTCAGAGCCAGATCTCTCCAATCAGCAGGGAGCATGAGCTTTGCTGATTGGAGAGCCCTAGCTCTGACATCACACAGGACATGTCAGACCTCTGGAGAGTGACCACTGCTTCTACACGGAGAGCAAGGCTGTAACACTCAGACTGGCTGCTTTGTAAAGAAGACAAGCTGTTAGGTTTCCACACCTTGTTCTTTTGATGCACCTGGAATGTATTTGGCTGATTTATACTGAAGGTGCAGTTGGGGTTTAATGTTTTTTATCTAATTATTGTCCGACATGTACAGAAAGTAATACTTTGAAGTTTGTCTTTTGATGGGATGTAGGAATTGCCTGCAGTCCGCGCCTCTTCATAACCTTAACCCCAGTGTGGGTCTGTGATTGATGCGGCTTGTGTGCAGCTCCTAACTAGCTTTGTCCACACAGGTGCAGTTTGCTTTGTGGATCCTGCGCTACATCTGCACGCTGTTCCTCTTCATGCTGGGAATTCTCGCCCCTGGCCGGCCGCGCAAACCGTATATCATCCTCATCAACGAAGACGAGAGGGACATTGAGAATACGCAGGTGAGACGGGTTCCGATGGGTTTTAAAGGGAATGTATAGTGGTCTTTAATTGTTTTTTTTTTTTTCATTAATAAAAATCTGTGACCTGTGTACATTATAAGGATCTTAACAAACCTTGTTACAGTTTCCTACCTGTTTCTCTTCTGAAGAAATAGCTTTTAGTTGCAGACTGTCCTTTCCAAACTGATCCCTGAATGGGAGGGTCGGGTGCATTATAACCAGCTGGTGGACTTCCCGTGTTCTCATGAGGAAAGGTGCAGCGTCGGCATCCCTTTAGTAGTAATTAACCATTCGAGAGCATCTCACCAAAAATGAAATTCCTATTACAAGGGATGCCAAAAATGATACTTGTATCGTAGTTCAGACCTCTGGGAGGAATCAGGCAGCCAATCACAGAAGCAGGAAGTGACATTTTGCGGAGAGTTCTGTACACCAACTGTGTACGGATCGCCCCCAGGTCGCCATATTGCATTGAATTTTTTTTAACAGATTTAGAACATTACAGAAGCTGCTGTTTTTAAATGTTAAAAAAAAGATGAATGACATGAAATTACAAAATGGCTTGTGCAGCAATTATATATGTTGCATTATTTTTTTATATTCTTAAAGTGGAGTCACCCTTTAATGATACATTTTAAAGTTATTGCGGAGTAACAACGGCTGACCGGTATCCCGGAATTCATCACCGCTCGGCTTTTAGTCGCTCTGCGGTTGAAGGGTCGCCGTTTGCTTTCTCCCTGTTTCCCGGGGATGCGATGTACTCTTAGTTTGCTGACTAAGGTCGGCTATTGTACTGTCTCTGTGTGCTGTCTATACTGAGAGCTCCGGACCTATCGGACATGGTAATATATCATTCTTATAATAAATTCACATTTTCTTTATTACTTTTTTTGGCAAAAGCTGTGATTTCCCTTTAAAGTATGTCTGTGATTTTTACCTTGCAGAGGGAGATCTGCTCACCCACCTGCTTTAGGCATCTAAACCCAAGAACCAAAATGCCATTTATTGCAGCTTACCCATCCGTAGATGTCGGGGCTGCTTTTGTTTTCTTTATTTTCATGCTTTTCCACCCTCATCACCCTGCCAGTATCATACTGCCTCTCCTAGGTTGACAACACTCACCGTACTGTAGCTATTGAGGATTAGAGTTGTCACCCTAGGATAGGATGGATGTTAATACTATAGAACACATCCCTCCTCTCCTTATCTCCATAACATGACCTTTTACCTATACTGAGTCATCAGCACCCGGCCACATGACCGGTGCCTAGGCGAGTTCTCTCTGACATCATCTGGGAGGTCAGTCTTAGGATCTTAGGAGAGGCCTTGTGACTAATGCAGGATTATTAGGTAAGCATTAGGCTTTTCCTTTAAAGAAGAACTCCGGGCAAATAAAATCTTAACCCTTGCAGTGGAGCTACCCCCCCGCACTGCAAAGTTTAAGTTCTCCTTTTGTCTAGGAAGCTAAAATAACAAAATTACACTCACTCCCAGCTTGCTCCTACACCGCTCCCCCCAGCCTGTTTCCTTCTCCGCTCCAGCGATGTTATGTCCCTCCGCATGTTCACATTCTATACACGGAATAGGGCAGGGCTGACAACACTGCTTGGGATTTCAGTGCAGCGGAAGCAGAGGTGTTGTCAGCTTACTGCTGGAAGCAGGAAGTTTGGAGCTCCCTAGACTTCTGACAGGACCAACAGGTATTTTTCTGTACTTTTTTTTTTTAAAGAGACAAACCCCCGGGACAATCTGCAAGTATTTCAGAAATTTGCTAAATATGTTTTTGTCCAGAAATGACTTGAATATATATTTTTATATCTCAGAGCTCATTTTTAAATTTAATAGGAAATTATTAGTGTTTGGGTCAATTACATTTTGATTTTTCAAATATGATATTTTTACTGTTTATTTGAAAATTTCTGGCTTAGCGGTTGGCACTTCTGCCTTGCAGCGCTGGGGGTCCCCGCTTCAAATCCCGGTCAGGACAATATCTACAAGGAGTTTGCAAGTTTGTACTCTGTTTCTCCCACAATCCAAAGTCATGCTGGAAGGTTAATTGGCTCCTGTCTAAATTGGCCTTGTATGTACGCATGTGAGCTAGGGACCTAAAGGTGCCCATACACCTTACGACCATCGCAAGACTTTTGTCTTGCGATGGTCGTATGCTTCTTGAAAGCCCGTACCTTGGACGTGCAGATCGTACTTGCGATCATCGAAAGCCCGCCCCGCTGAGGGGCGGGCTTCCGATGACGGCAATGCAGAACGGGCAGTGTGCGCGTGCGCACACCGGCCCGTTCCGCAGCTATCGGACGAGCAGGCTAGAAACGTACGATTCTCGGCGGGTTTTCGAACATGTTGGCTCGACAACAGACGTGCGACCTTACAGTAGAAACAATCGCACGTCTTAGTTCACACTGCTCGATTCTCGTAAGATCGCGGGATTTCGCCCGATTCTCGTACGAGAATCGAGCAGTGTATGGGCACCTTTAGATTGTACGCTCGATGAGGGCGGGGACTGATGTGAAAGTGCGCTATGTAAAACGCTGGGTAAATTGTCGGTGCTACATAAATACAGGCAGTCCCCGGGTTATGAACAAGATAGGGACTGTAGGTTTGTTCTTAAAGGAGAACTATGAGGTGGGTGCTTTTCACTCACCTCATAGTTCTAGCCGACCTGTGACAATGAGACTGTCACAGGGCGGCTCAGTAGATCGGGAAGTGAGCGAACACATACCGGCATTCTATCACCTCTCGATCCTGTGCCGGTAGAGAGCCGTGACGGGAGGGGCTGGATTCCCCCCTCCCCTGTCCGATCCTCCAGCGCTGACTGTCGGAACGGACGGGGGAGGGGGCGGGTACAGCTGGCTCTGTCTCTAGATAGGCAGAGCCAGCTGTCACTCACGCAGCTGGGCGGATCCAGACATAATTGTCGGGATCCGTTCTGGCTGCGGCGTCTCAGCAGCTCGCGGTATACTGAGCTTAGGGTGACGGGAGGACGCTAGTTGGTGTCCTCCCGTTACCCTTAGGAGAACTATGGGGAAAAGCCCTAACCCCATAGTTCTCCTATTAAGTTGAATTTGTATGTAAGTTGGAACAGGTAAATTATTTTTAAGTGTAAACTCCAGTCAAAATTGTTGTTGTTGTTTGATTTGCATAGGGAAGGGTTAACCCCCTGTAACGTTTGTTTTGCTGTGTGTGCCCCTGTTCAGAAGATTTCACCTCACCTTCTGTCCCCGTGACAATTGGATTAAAAAAAAATTGTGTTGTCATGGAAACAAGGATTGGTGACAAAGCTTCAGTGGAGACACCTTTTTCCCGTGATCACTCTTACAGGAGTGAATTTCCCTTCCTAAAGGTAGATTTCCTCTCACTTCCTGTTGTCTCAAGGACAGGAAGTGAGATTAAATCTTTCTAATGAGGATACAGACCGCAGTAAAAACCTCAAAGTGACCCGGAAGAAGAGGCGGGCACCCCTCGTCTGCTCGTCTAACAAGAGCCAACTTCCTGTAATGTACGTACAGTACTACGAACCAGACCCAAAAAGGCGGGCACTCCTCGTCGGCACGAGCGCGGTAGCATTACAACTACCCCTGCTGTACAGTAATAGCCTCCATTTGTAAGTAGGAGCCGTATGTAAGTCGGATGTATGTTACTTGGGGACTGCCTGTACCAATAATAAATACATGTTTATAACATATTTTAATAAAGGGTGGCATTGATGTGATCAAGAATTATGGGTTTTCTAAATGGGAAAAAAATGCAGAATCTGTTTATTTTCAGCTTCTCTGTCACTTATTGAAACTGTGCCCAGCCCCATCCAGACAGATCAGGTGTGGGGATGAGGGTGGGAATGTTTCCTTGCCTTTTCAGCAGAGCAGCTAAGAATACACGTTTCCCTTCCTGAGTGTTCTCCATTCTGTTTTGGTCACGCTATCATCATCATCATCATCATCTTCATCTGCCATGGACGGACTCGTAACCGCTTTGTTCCTCTTCTTTCTAATCTCTCAGCCCCTTTTGAACGATCAGAACCAGTCAACATGGCAAGGTTTCTGGAAGAAGGTGCGCCTCCTCGTTCCGTATATGTGGCCGCGGGGGAATATACTACTGCAGCTCCTGGTTCTCCTCTGCATGGGGCTGATGGGTGTGGAACGAGTCATCAATGTCTTCGTCCCCATCTTTTACAAAAAAATAGGTGAGATTTGAGTTCCAGCCTTTTATATCTGATTTGTAAAAGAAGGTAAACATTTTAATATGTGACGCAGGACTCCCAGAGCACTGCGGGGTTATCTAAAGAGACAGCAGAACACAAGCTGCCTGCTTTTTAACTTGCTCTGTCCAACTGAAAACCTCAGACCGAGTCATCCCAAAAAAAGTGTGTGTTTCAGCTACTGAGCTCTGTATACAAATATTTTAAGCGTGTTTATTTTTAAAACCTTACCATGATAAATAAAGTAAATCTATACAAAACTTACATTTACTGAGATATACATCTCTTGATCCAGAGAGCTCCATAAGAAAGCAGTCTCAGTGTGTAGGGGTCGGGGAGGGGCCCACTGTGACACACCAGTGTTGCTTTTGTAACATCAATCTGATACTTTGTTTTTCAATGCCAAGGAAGCTAAATGCCCCGACCTCTAACCCTAATCTAATCCTTAGGATGATCTTAACACTTAAAGGAGAACTATGGGGTCAGTGTTTTCCCCATAGTTCTCCTACGGGTCACGGGAGGACATAAACGAGCGTCCTCCCGTTACCCAAAACTCAGTATAAAGCGAGCTACAGCTCGCGGTATACTGAGACCGCCACAGCCGGAACGGATCCCGGCATTACTGTCGACATCCACCCAGCCGCGTGAGTGACAGCTGGCTCTGCCTATATATAGGCAGAGCCAGCTGTACCCGCCCCCTCCCCCGTCCGCTCCGCCAGTCAGCGCTGGAGATCGGAGGGGGGATCCCTGCGGGGAGCCGTGAGTGACAGTCACGGCTCTCTGCAGAGAGATGATCGAGAAGTGAGCGAGCGCCGGTATGTGTTCGCTCACTTCCCAATTTATATTGAGCCGGCGTGTGACAGTTTTGGCTTGAACTATGAGGATGAGTGGTTTTCACTCACCCCATAGTTCTCCTTTAATTACCTCCCCACTTCATCTAAAACTGAAAGTATAGCTGAAGGCAAAACTGATATGACGCCGCAGCTGGCACTGCATTGCATCAACGCATGTTACAGTAATGCGCGCATTTATGTGAGTGCTACTGCAACCCCACAGTGTGAACAGACCCAACACCAACCATCCAGCTCACTACCTCTGATACAAATGTTTGTGCCAAGCATTAGCATGTACCCAATGGAGTGGTGAGCAGGGCAAGTATAGGCAACGGTTTTTATGGTGATACGCTGGTAATGATGTCTACAAATAGCTGCAGTGTGGTTTGTCCTCTGACTGTATATGTTGTGTCTATCACAGTGGACCAGCTGACGGAAGGATCTCCCTGGCACGCTTTGGCACTCACTGTCTGCCTATATGTACTGCTCAAGCTGCTGCAAGGAGGAGGAGCAGGTAACTGCACCGGGGACACCATCAGAAGTGTGTTTTCTGTCTTTTCCATTTGGATCTTTGCTGGAAGTCTTTAACTTTTTTTTGTTTTCTGTCTTTAAGGTGCAACGGGGTTTGTAAGTAACATGAGAACCTTCCTGTGGATCCGGGTGCAGCAGTTTACAAACCGCCAGGTGCAGATCCGCCTGTTTGGCCACCTGCACTCTCTGTCCTTGCGCTGGCATCTCGGGCGCAAGACGGGGGAGGTGTTACGTAGTGTGGACAGAGGGACCAGCAGCATCAATAGCTTACTGAGGTGCGGTTTGATATCAAAGGCCGATAACAGGATAATGATACCTTTTTGTTGGAGTGTAACAGCATGAAACGGATGGAAGAAAGCAGCTACAGTGGAATAGAAAAGCCTGTTTCCCGCCAGCATGCAGAATGGGAACATTGCTTACTGTTGGGAAGCAGTGTAGACATTCAACACATCTGTTGAGTCGGATTAATAGCCCTGCAATCAGCAAAGCTCATGTTCCCCACTGACTGGGGAATTCTAGCTGACTCCGCAGAGGTGGGGGTGTCAGACTTCTGCAGAGAGACCACTGCTCCCCCCTCTCTGCAGCATGCTGGCAATGCACAGGCTTTTCTACGCTGTGGCTGCTTTAGGAAAAAAAAAAAACTAAGACTTTAAACTAGGGATGCACTGATGCCGTTTTATTACGGTATCGAGTACGACCACCGATATTTTGCTCTCAGTACTTCGAAGGCTCAACTGGGTGCCCGTATGCCTCTACCATTTCCCTGGTAGACCAGGAACCCTGAAACTTGGTCGCTGGCTCTGCCCACCCTCTCCTGCATCTTAGGCCTCATTCACACTGCCGCGCGTATTGTACCATATGCAAATAAATGGCTCCATACACATAGCCGCGTATGGAGCTTTTTATTTGCGTAGCGTATATATGCGCAAAAACAGAATGGAACCGAGATGCGTCCGGGCAGCGTATTTCTGCGTATCTTACGGGCATACGCATGTTTATTAGAAATGATGCATTCTGGGAATGCAAATAGTGCACGCATATACGCACGTGTGCTCGTATAGACGCGCATATATATACGCAATATACAATTTTGCTTGCATTGTGCGTGAATGAGGCCTTAGTGTTGGCCCATTACTGTTATGGACAACCTTACTGACCAATAATAAGGCGCATGAGCTGGTAAAAGGGTGGGACTGAGCCAGTGACCAAGAAGCTGGTCAGTACTTTCCCTGCAGGCAACGGGAATGTGAAAGAGCATGCAGAGACTTAGTGGCACCTTCTATGATCTGTAAGTGTCGCTTCACTCCTTCTACTCTTGCCTGCGGTTTACTTTAATGTAAGTCGTTTAATTCTATTATGTACACGTACCACTGTATGTAGCTATGTACTAATATTAGGCACTGACTTTGGTCATATTACTGGCACTGCTTAGCACTGATCGAGCTATTTTTATCTTGCAGTTACATAGTGTTCAGTATAATTCCCACCATTGCCGATATTATCATTGGGATCATCTATTTCACGTCTTTCTTCAATGCCTGGTTTGGGCTGATCATTTTCATCTGTATGACTTTATATCTGAGTAAGTACTAATAGAAGGCGATTGATGCTTTATTTGTAAAGGACGCTGTTGACTATTTTGTAATCTACTGTAATTAAATGACACGTACTAAAAAACGTGAACACAGCATATTTTGGTTGGGTCACCATACACTTTGCAGCAATAATCGGGTTAAACAGAGTTCCTACAGCTTATGTAAAGCCAGACCGGACTCTGTCCTGCCACTTTTCCCACTTTTGGGGACCCAATTTTTGCTCTCCTGGTAGTCTTCCGCTCCTGGCAAGGTATATTTGCCGATCTGCTCTCCATCTCCAGGCCACTTTTGGGTATGGAGGAGCATGTGTTCGGATGTGTGTGTGCGTGTGACAGTGTGTAATTGCGTGCAGCTACGTCCTCCCATAGGGAAGAACAGGCAATTACACGCAGCATCTGTCCCTTCCAGGATCGAGTCTTTTTACGGGTGTGCACACCGTACAGACGCGTATGCCCCTTTGAAATGAGCCCTTTGGAAACAGTGATGGGAATTTATCAAAACTGGAGCAGACAAAATCTGGAGCGGCTGTGCACGGCAACCAATCCGCTTCTCTTTAATTTTCAAATCTTAACTGAACAAACTGAAGAGAGAAGCTGATTGGTTGCCGTTAGGGTTGCACAGATACCAAGTACATGTACCGATACTTTTGAGCTCCAAGACCAGACTAGAGAAAAATTCAAATGTTAGGAGGCAGCTGTCATTTGTAAGGAGCACACGGAGCTCCCGGGTTTTGTACATCTCTGTTTTATTGTATGATTTTGTTTTTATAAATATAAATAAAGGGATGCACAGATACCAGTTTTGCGAGTACGCGTACTGGTACTTGCTGAGTACTTACAAGTACGAGTACTGATACATTTTTGTTTATTGTCATGTGACGGTTTTTCTAAAACAATACAGACTAATGATTTCAGGACAGTGGTGGAGCGCCAGAGCCAGGTCCCTGGTAGTTCTCATGAAAATGCCAAGTATCGGCACTGGTACTCGAAAAGTATCTGTGCATCCCTAGTTGCCGTGCACAGCCGCTCCAGATTTCCTCTGCTCCAGTTTTGATAAATTCCACATGTCAGTTGCTAAGACAGTGGCTTAGTGGTGAGCAATTCTGCCATGCAACACTGGGGGTCCCTGGTTCAAATCCTGTCCAGGACACCATCTGCATGGAGTTTGCATGTTCTCCTTGTGCTTGTGTGGGTTTCCTCCGGGTAATCCGATTTCCTCCCACACTCCAAAGGCATGCTGGTAAGTAAACTGTCTCATGTCTAAATTGGCCCTATATTTGTGCTCTGGTATAAAAATCTCAACTGATCCTGGTGACACTCTGTCATTGAGCTTTGAAACTCATTTCAGGCGTGGAGCCATAAAAAAGTAAGTGCACCAAAGATTGCAGTGCAGTCATGTAGGGAGTGTAGGGAATGGGAAGACGTTGAGAATCTTCACTGAAAACATTGTGTGACTATTCTTCATTTCAGTTATCTAGTCAGGTGAGAAGCATCTGCGTGATCCGGTATTCAGATAGATCGGGATTTTGCTTTTCACACGATCTGATATATGAAAATAAATCAGTAAATCGGCCATCGGCATCATATTGTTGGGGGGGGGGGGGGGGCCTCTCTTTTA